AGCTCAGCAGGGAGGAGCAGGTGAACAAGGCACAACTGGAGGACAATCAGGTCAATCAAAAGGTGGGCGGAGCCACACTTTAGTGCTTTAAAACCACCTGCTGCAAGTGTTTCAAAAAAACAGTGAACGTTAGACACCACAACATGATGTCAACCATCAGAGTGCTCCTCTGGCTGTTCTGCGGAGCAGCAGCTCGGGACATAAACAGGAACATGCAATCTGCAGACCAGAGACCACATCAACCAGTAGTCCAACAACCAGCAGGTAGGTCTGATCCACATCACAGGACTCAATACTACGATCAGCATATTGTTGTCTGATGAACAGTTCTGGAAGTGTTTTGTCCCCTCTGAAAGAAACTGGATGCTAAGTGTTAAGATTTGGCTTTAGACTGAAAGTTTTTCTTCAGCAACAGCAGATCAGGTTATTTAGGGGACATGTTGAATAATACCTTTTGTTGATCTTGCACACTTAAATGTTCAGTGTGTAAGATTTAGGTGAAAGGGATCTATGGGCAGAAATTGAATATAATATAATCCTAGTGATGTTTTCACTAGTGTGTGATCACCTAATTGTTTTCTTTACCCAAGAATGAGCAGTTGATATTTAAATGCTTTATATTAGCTATGGAAAGCCACCATATTTTTTACAGTGTCCAAACTAGACAAACTAAAAACCTTTTGAGATTTTATGACTATAACTGAAGGCTACCACAGGTTCTTTCATGTTTGGGAGGGTGCGGTGCGGTGAGGGGTGTTCAGCTCCAACATGCAACTTCACCAAGAAACTTCAACTTAGATCTCATTAAATTCTACACACTGAGCCTTTAAATAATTGACTTTCTGTCCAATAGTTAAAAATATTATTTTACAATAAGAAGCTGAAATGGGGGAAGGAAAATCTCAGCTGAAATATAAAAACTGACAAAGGAAAAACTTTGTACATAATACTTTTAGTGAGAATGTATGAGTTTTACTTGGAATTGTTTTGTCTAAATGAAAACCTCAACTGCTGGCACTGACTTTGGTGAAGCTCCTTTTTCACTAACGTGCACTGTGAATTTAACAAGCAGACCTTTACCTTTGGAAAAATGTCTGTATTTGGTCTTTCTTTGGTATTTCAGGTTTTTCTTTCTCTTCAGATTATTGCTGAGATGTCTCAGTGAAACAGCTTGCATGTTGTAGGGCTAGTGTATACTACTCTCCACAAAGTGAACAGCTATTAATATAGAAATGAAACACACCAAAAACTGGGTGAGTGTTCCTATTAAAGGTCCAGTGTGTAAGATTTATTGGCAGTAAATTAATATATATATATAAATATATATATAAATAGTGATGTTTTCACTAATGTGTTTCATGTAACTTGTACAAATTGTTGTTTTTTTCCCCCTAGAAAAGGCCCTTTATAGTTAAATACTTTATATTTACACCTGCAGCTGCTCCTCTCTATGGAGGCCACCATGTTTTTTTGCAGTAGTCCAGACTGGACAAATATTTTTTGGAATTATATGACAACTGAAGGCTACCACAGGTTCTCTTTCACATTTTAAGGGGAGGATGAGGTGAGGGGTGTTCAGTTGCAACATGCAACTGCACCACCAGATGTCACTTAATTCTACAAACTGAACCTTTTAAAGGCCAACTTTTAAACTAAAGATAAGAACCATCACAAGGCCACGCAGTGGGTTTTGGACACAAACAGACTCAATCTCCATAATTTAACTGTGCACTACACTGTCATGGCCAGTGCCACTGGCTTGATGATAAATTGAATCTGAATTAATATGTATTTGCCAAAGAATACACTACTCTGATCCTTTAAATGCAGTTGGTGAGAATTGCGCTGATGGTTGTTTTGGCAACAATGAGTTCATGACTTTTGAAAAACATGTGTCAAGAGATATTTGTTTTAATCATGAGGACAAACATGTTGGTTTGCTAATGTTAGCTTTCCACAGTTAAATGAACCTAAGCCCATACATAAAACAAATTAAAGCTAATGGATAATATACACCATCTTAGCTGTTCAACAGGAGAAGCAGTCTTTCCATGAACCGTTGACTTGGAAGTTTCCAGAACCACCAGCTGAAGAAGAGCCTCAGTACCCTCCAGATTTTCAGCTGAAGACTCCAACTGCAGTCGAAACTGTCAGCGCCACCTGCGGGGAGGAGTATGTGCGGGTGGAGGTCAAGAAAGACCTGCTGGGAATCGGTAAACCTGTCCTGCCTGCAGACGTCTCACTGGGAGGGTGTCCTGCCACAGGGGAGGATGCAAACACTCAGGTCCTGGTGTTTGAATCAGAGCTGCATGGATGTGGCAGCCAGCTACTGGTGAGACTGATTGTCCCACATCACACAAATTGTTCACACAAACTAGACATGGAATTGTATTCAGGCTCAAATGATTTATTTTAATTTTATAAATGTCTTGTGATAAAGCAGAAATGATCCTTGTGCTGGTTGTAAGAGTGCAACTATGGTTTAGCAATTTGAATTGATGCTATTCTAATCAAACATTGAAATTACTTGGATTTTTTGAAGCAGCAGGTCAGTTTTATTTAAAAATGTATTTGTGTAGTGCAACACTCACAGCATGCATCATCTCATGGCACTTTATATAGGAAAGTAGACAACTTGCAATATTATGGATAAGCCAAACACTTTGACTGTGCACAGAAACTCCACATGACACCTTTAATATCAGATTACTGCTGTAATTAGTTACTTAAGGTCCATAATCAGCTCTGTAAAACAGTCAAAGACTCACAGATTTGTTACAATGAAACTGTATGCTCTTCAGGGCAACATATGTGATCTTGTGCTAAAAATCTGTCTGTAAAGCTTTTCGGCAATGAGTCAACATTTAAAAACTAGGAGCTAAACGAGGCTAAATGCTCAGTTTAGTCATTTTCTCTGTGTATTTGTGTTCTGGTGTTTTGTTATTTGCACAATATCTGTGTCATGTTTTGCTTCTTACCTGCTAGGAACAGACTCCAGCATATTATCATTTTGTATTTTATAGTGTTCATTAAATTGCTCTATCGGTATCAAATAACATAGAGCTACAGTTTGAAAAAATTTACTGTTGGTTGTTAACAAGACACTTGACAATGTGATTCAGTGTCAAGTGTTGTTAATGTGCATGTGTATATAGACATGTGTCGCCCTCCTGCGTTTCAGATGTCAGAGGACTCGTTCATCTACATCTTCACACTGATCTACACCCCCAGTCCTCTGGGCAACAGTCCAATCATCCGAACCAGAGACGTCTCAGTCAGCATCCAGTGTCACTACCAGAGGTCAGACTGGATCCAACCATGGAGGCTCTATACTGTTGTTTCAACACCCTCCGTGTCTGTTCCATTGAAATGTTTCTTGATATTAAACAATCTGCATTTAGATATTTGCTGTTAATGTGTTCAGGAAGCATGGCGTGAGCAGCGGGCTGATGAGGCCGACCTGGACTCCATTTAGTGACACTAAATCTGCTGAGGAAAGTCTCTACTTCTCCCTTAAACTCATGACTGGTACGTTCATACTCCATAAATGATGATCTCCAAAATGTTCTTGCAGTATCCTGGTGTTTTAGTTTGCAAGGATTAAAACATCCCATAGCTCCGCCTGATATTTCCTCTCTCAGATGATTGGCTGTACCCTCGTCCATCCACTCAGTTCCTGCTGGGAGACATGATGAATTTTGAAGTTTCAGTACAACAGTTTCACCACCTCCCTCTCCGAGTGTTTGTGGACAGCTGTGTGGCCACCGTGGTCCCAAACATTGACACTGTCCCTCGATACCTCTTCATGGGAAACAAAGGGTCAGTTCACTTTGCTGGTGATCTTTAAAGTGTGTTACATCTCCTATCCCGCTTTTGTGTTGCGTTCAGGTGTCTATCTTGATGTCATGTGTTGCGTTCAGGTGTCTGTTTGACAGTCAGCTGACCGGCTCCAGCTCTCGGTTTCTACCTCGGACTCAGAGCGACAGACTGCAGTTTGAGGTTGAGGCGTTCAAGTTCCAGCAGGACCACAGTGGCGTGGTGAGACTCAAACTCTACATTTTGCACTTTAAACATTTTTTTTTTTACAAATCGGTGATTGAAACCCTCTTTGTCTCTGCAGATCTACATCACCTGCAGTCTGAAAGCCACGGCTGCTACTGCAGCTGTTGATGCAACCAACAAAGCCTGTTCATTCTCCAACAGGTGGGACACAACTCCCCATTAACCTCATCATCCTTAGTGGCTCTCAAATATTTGTTTCTTTAACTGCTGGAATATTGGTCTGCATATTGATCATTGTAAATTGCATCCTGTAGATTGTCAGTTGTAGTTCCTTTCAAACTGCTGACACTATTCGCTTATTTCCCTAGAATTCAGGATCAGACATATTAAACACTCATACAATAGTTTCTTGTTGATCACCTAAACCATGCATTATCCTAAATTTCCTCATTTTTGATTGACAGGTGGTCGGAGGCCAGTGGAAGCCATCAAGCCTGTTCATGCTGTGATTCAGACTGTGGGACAAGAGGCCAGAGTCAGCTGACCGGAGCAAGTAAGTCGACGAGTGCATGAGAAACTCTTACCTGTTTTCCCTCTTTTTTTGAAATCACGTTGTTTTGGAATTTTCAGAGACACTGTCTCCTCTCTCTAAGGCAAAGTGCATGTGGGTGTCGTGTTTGGTGAAGTTTAGGGGCATGGCCGAGGTCAAATGCTTCACTTCCTAGACACCACATATGTGAGACTACGCAAACACTGTCTCCAGAATTAGAAAATACATTTGCTTGTTTAGGAACTAGCAGACCCATAGACTAAATGATCCGTAGATGAGACTTCAGAATATGAGAGGACATCAGGCACAGTTGTTGTATTGATGGATTTTCTACTTGGCCAAGCTTCAATAAATAGTTCAGCATGAGATGTCAAAGGGCTCCTGAACACTTTCTTCACTGATGAGTTGACCATTGAACAGCAGATTTTCCACAAGACACGTCACTTGTGCTGTGCTGCTGTTTTAAGTATCACAACAACCACCTCACGAGTCAGCTGCACTCTTTTGAGCAGGACATTGTGTATGCAGTTTATAACTTTTTTTTAAGTTACACCTTATCCCTTTATATAATTCTAATTGCATAGATGGTTTATTGCTCAATCCGTTACACATTGGCAGATGATTTTAAAGTTGCTTTTTTTTTAAGATGCCATAACTGCACTTAGTTAGCTTCTAAATTAAAGAGATGGCTTTTGTACTATGCAAATTCAAACCTTAACATATTATAAGCCAATTGTTGCTCTTGTATCTTTTTCATTTTGTTAACTTTAAAGAGTTGTTTGTGTTGCAGGTCCTCTGTGGGAACAGGAAACAGCTTTTGGACCGATCGTAGTGAAGGACAAACCTCTACGCTGAGAAATAAAATGAAAAGTAACTTGAATGAAATTACTGATTAAAGCTTTTTACCTCTGATGGAGACCTGATTTGGTTTATGGTTACAAGGGAATATAATCAAACTTGAAGGTACAATGAGATTCCAAGATGTAAATGATGCTGCAGCCGAGTGTGCTGGTATTTATACAAATGGCACAGCTATGGGTCACTGCATCAAGTAACTGCCTTGGGAGACTTTCTGCCTGTGACAGATAAATTTAACCACTGGCGTTTGCGGTTGAAAAGTAAACTCGTAAACCATTATTTCTTGAACCTGGGGTAAAATGTTGTGAGGTCAAGGAAAGCTGTGGAAGAGAAGCTGAAAGAGTTGGTTAAATGGAACCATTGTTAAGAAAACATGACTTTTAAACCTGGCTTTTATTTTATTTTTTTAAACCATTTCTTAACAAAAGATGTGTACTACACTGTACTAAAATTGTTTCCAGTTTATACAGAGGGAGCATTAAATCTTCAGTTATTCATTTTTGTTATACATTTGACTCCTGTTGAACTAATGAGGAACATGTGGATTATCTCAGTCAGCAATAGTTAAATAAATAAAGCAGCTGTGCTTTTTGAATTGACGTCTGCCCAAATGCAACGAAGATTGTTACGTTACTGCTGCAATGACTTGTGGGATGACATTTTCTCTCTTTTTAATAGCCTAAAGGTTGGTCCATTGTTTCCTATGCTAAAGGAAGCGCTGGGAAGCATTGATGCTCTTGTCCTTAACAAAAATGGCATCTTCCTGGTCTTTCACTCACTCAGAAACCTTCCTAAGCAAAATGGACTCTTCATATGCCCCCTTATTGCAGGGACAGCTGCTCTGCACCTCTACCCTCGTCCATTTTAGATGATAACACCTGAGTGGACACAGCTGGAGAGGCTGTGTCACTATGTATCATAGACAGGACCGTTCTTTATAACCCTAACCTACACCCCCCCTCCCCTCTGTCAAGCCGCCTCATCTCCTTCACAACGGCCTAAGAGTTGCAGGCTGCAGCATCCATCACGGGCCGGAGAGGAGCTTCCCGTCAGCTTCGATCCATCTCTGCTTTCTGTCTCCCCAGGGAGCGGAGGATGACCTCAGACTGAGAGGTCACATTGAGCTTCAAGGTCATCACAATAACTGTCCTAATTCAAAACACAGTGATGGTATTTGTTTCGTCCATTACATCAATTAATAGGAAACACCAGAGTCCTCTTCTCCTACTTTTGAAACCTTATTTCAGCTGCAGTGCCCCCTTTGGCAGAATAATCTATTCATCAGCAATAATTCATGTCCGCAGTGGTCGATGTGATGACTGTCAACTTAAACTACAGAGACAAAGTGAAGTTTAGAAAAGTCTTTATGATCGTATGAGTCAGATCAGTTTAGTGATGAGAGGCTCTGGCTCATTAGGTGAATAATGGGCTGATCGTGTGTTTCTGTAAATCAAACCACTACAATCAGGAGAGACTTCAGTTCACTGTAGTAAATGTATTGCCATGCACAGTAAGAGATGAACATGATATAAATGAGTATTTGGTGTTGACACCCCTTTTGATGTCATCATGTTTGAAAGGGGGTGTGGCCGCATGCTAAAGGAAACCCATGGGGTCTATACACTGGTGGTGGAGGATGAGATCTAGAAGGTTTTCAGGAGGATCTGGTGAGATGAGTGAACTCAGTTGGGCTCAATCAGGATATGGAGACTGGAGGTGATTAGAGAGGAGGAAGGTTGCTGTGAATTACTGAAATTATAGCTGACGGTGAAAGAGAGATCAGATTTAAAGTTTGACAGTAACAACATGATTGGCTAATTGAAATTGTGGCATACGCTGACTGGATTGCTGATCCAACCATTATCTGATTAGAAATGTGAAATAAGTGTGAATGAATAAGACCTCCTGAGTTTGCTGGACTCTAGTGTTCAGCTTGACATCTGCTGCGTCTCTTCAGATATTTACTGACTTTTTGAAGTCCGTCTGAGGTTCAGGTGAGACAGTTACCTGTCAGGACCGCCAGTCTGTCAGTCGACCTGGTCATTAAATGAGCTCTGAGCCACATTATAACCCTTCTGTATCAAACCCACCTTAACCTAGACTCTTTCAAAATCTGCTCAGCATTCATCAGAGATTTAAAATGGGGATCCAGTTTAATGAGCACAAGGCCGCACAGACCACAGTCAAACAGGCCGAATGTAAAGAGGGTTTTTTTCTCGTTGAGGCAGGAAATTGCTTTTCCAACAATGCAGCAGCACAGAGAGAGCCTCCTGAAAGTCAGAGTATAAATTAATTTTATTCAGAAAAAATCCAGTTTCAATTATCTGCCTCCAACACGACACTAATCATCAATAACAGGTTTGAAATAAAAAATATTCAGCTGCCCTCATACTGAACCTGGATACACAGGCATCATTGAGCCGCTTGCTGCCTCCAGGGCACAAAAAATTGTTGGATTTAATTAAACAGGACGCATGTGAAGACTGAGAGAAGACTTTGAGCTCCAGGTAAATTGTGAATTTGTGATTTTAGGTGTTAAAGGGTCAAGCTGTTTGTGCTGAAGTCAAACAACTTCAAATGATTTGAAACAATCAAAGAAAAATTGAAAAACCATAATCTACACACAGAGAGAGAGAGAGAGAGAGCAGTGAGTGCAGCAGCAGCGCCCCCTGCTGTCTCAGGTTAAAGCCTCCCAATGAGAGGAGCTAGCGAACATAACACATCACATACATGTAAAACCAACCTGTCACGGAAATATCTTTAAAAACTGCAGTGCTGATCAGAACAAGTTTCAGTTTGCCAATGCATCTAAAAGACACATAAAAGTTTTTGTTGAAATATTCCTTCTTAAAGTCAAATGCACTGAAGTTAAACCAACAAACATGGATTCTTTTTACCACAATGCTTTTACTTTTCAGGTATTTATCCAGTGTTGTATAATGACGGATGGAGAACGGTAGTTTTCATCTTTTAAGAAATTGATAAACTGAGCCCTTGAAATTGTGAAGAGGTTTTACAGAGAAAGGAAAAGTCAGATGTATTTCGAAACAAAACAAATAGATAATGAACCACAACACATTAAAGCAACTTAATACTGACATTATTAATGAAGGAGTGTCAAACACAGTTAAAATAGGTTATATAAAAGGTTATAAAGGCTGGAAGTAGGGATGGGATTTAAAAGAAAGAGAGAACTCCAATGAATAAAAATAATTGAAATATCATGACAATGCATAATTGTTGAGATATTTCTGTTAGAACGATAGTGGTGGAGCAAAAGACAAACACTCATATCAACACTGAACTCTCACTAGTCAGAGTGCTGCAATTAAACCCAGTTTGTATTTCACATTATTATAAATACAGTCAATTATTGGTAATTATTCCAAGAGCAGGTCCAGTAAAATAAAATGACCTTTTTAAAAATGAATGCGTGTTTTTGAACTAAATGAAGGACCTGATCACGTCAGGTCAGATGCAAAATATTTCTGATGCTTACTAGTGCTTGAGGAGTGGGGGGGGGCAGTTTATACAAATTAAATGAAGAAGTTAGTTAAAATATTCAGTCTACTTGGTCAAAATGCACATTTTATATGGCTGAAACATATTCCCTTTCAGAAACACTGTGAAAAACATCTAATCATTTAAGATTTGAGTTCTTCAGGCACAAAAGGAACTGGTGATATTGTTTATTGTAAAAGAGTAACGCGTGTTAGCTGAGAAGCCAATTTTCTCGTGACAGTGGTGAAAGAAATACTACCAAGTCAAATTTACACATTTAAGCTCAGTGGGGTTGTTATCAGGGCCATTGATGCCACTTGGTGCTTAGGCGCTCTGGGTTGTTGTAAAGACTAAGACTAAACTAAAGTCACCTGAGATCAAATGTAAACAACCTTTGTTTCTGTCACATGAGACCGAGGGTCAACGCTTGTTAAATCTCCACTGTTGTTGAGCAGTGGCTCTACTTTAACATGGATCAACTTCCAGAGCTGGCCTAGGTAACACCTGCCCAGAAGCCCCATGGCCACTAGAGGGCTCTTACGAGCACCTGAAATGTCTTATAATACAACGCTTGACATTTTTTATGGTTTCACTTTATATGTTATGTCAATGGTCATCACACCAATATTATTTTAACAGACTGGCTAATAAATTCCCACCTCCTCTGCCAGAGCAAGACAGCTACATCTGACAAAGTAAGTTATTTGGCTGTGTTAGATTTGCAGTGTGCAAAAGTTAAACCTAAGGTTATGCTGGAAAAGAGCAGACCGAGCTTGCTAAACTTAGGCCATGGTGAGTTGAAAAAAAGCAACCTATACATTCCAATCCCTTCCTTCGGCCCTCTCATTAAAGCTACGCCGCCAAAACACATGGACTGGCCCTGACTAGAAGCACTTTTCCAAAAGTTGGTCAAAAACATCTGACTAATGTCTCTTGAGGAAAATAACCAAACACTGATCATTGTTTTATTACCTCTGAAGAAGTGGTCACCAGTTACTTCAACTGTATTGGATTTGCTTTCAACACTGTTTACCCCTGAAACTCCAAAAGTGTTTTGTGGACTCGTGGACACGATATAAATATAAACAGAATTATCAGTGGATTATAAATATAAATATGGCAATATTAACAGAATTACAGTATACATATAAATATGGCAGATATAAACAGGATTAAGAGTATAGGCAGTGAGGTCTATCAAAAAAATAAGATGTATACAGTGCAAACAGTGTTGTAAACAGTTGGTGTACAGCAGTTGACTGCAATTTTTGTTGTCTTGTTGTTTTTTTGAGTTTATAAAAGTGGCTGGTCGGCATAGTGGTGAGCAGCTAATGAGGGGATTTCATTTTGGGGTGAACTATCCCTTTAAAGAACGGACTCTTGGCGCTGATGAACATCGCAGACGAGATGAGGATATTTACAACTCCAGTAAAAGTAATCCGAGGTTTCTGGTAGTGCCTGAACGCGCCACGTGGCCCCTCCTACATCCGGTAAGAAACCGCTATCTGTCAGAAAAAGCCTCCCGAGCGGAGCTCCGCTACACGGACCCTGTCCTCAGAGCTCACCGCTGCTCTCACGGTGGTCTGCTGATCGACCTTTTGGAGCCTTTCACCTCGGACACACAGCACAGAACATGTCCGCACTGAGGTAACCGTCCCCCCGGGCCGCTGCTGCTGCCTCCCCGGCCGGCTGAAGGACGAGGCAGGACGGACGAACACAGATGGAGAGGCCGCGCAGGCTGCTGCTGCTGTCCGAGCTCCGCGTCAGAAACGCCGCGTACGATGTGAGTCTGAGCCGGTCCATGCTCACCTGGAAGAGACGGATCTCCAGCCCGGTGTACCACCCGTTCAGACCCTGTAAGACCCGGATAAAGATAACATGTCTGTCCGCTGCGTGTGTGTCTGTCTGTCTCTATATGCTCTGTCGCTCGTGAACGCACCGCTACATCCTGCGTGGTAAACAAAGGGCAGATTGGACACAGAGATAATATACAGTAGTGGACAGGACAGAGGGGCATGGGACAGTGAGTGAGACATGATGCATCCGGTTACATAAGTCATCGCATCCAGTGTGACACTCGATCTGTGCAGGTCAGAGTGCGGCTGCAGGCACACAAACCAAACCTCGTTCATTCTTCGAGACGTTCAGAGGACAGTCACATTCACTGGCCTACAGCATGTACCACAGAGTCTTACATCTCATCCCTGAATGTGCTGAAGATTGTCCCTGCTGTGGACTGTAGCAGAAATTAAAACCTTATGATAGAAAGACAGTTGTAAACAACTTTTTACATTAATAGTTCATCTGTCAACTCTAATCAGACAAATCTGAGACCAGCACACCACTAATGATTTGAACTAACTTTGTGGACATTACTTTTGGTTGTTGTGTGTCGCACCTCTGAGGTGGGTTTGATTCACCACAGATACAGAACCTCCGTGTCTCCGCACATATACATGTGTGTGTCTGTGGTGGGTCTCTCTGGTTGTTTTGAATTCACAACATGCTATAACATAGATTTCCGTGACAATCTCTTATCAAACATCCGTTTCTCCAATGACAAAAATCAAAAGACTGTGAGATCACAAGGGGAATTTAAGTCAAAACTTCTGTTAATGATGCAGCAATGGGGTTCAAACTGCCGACATTCCAATTAGTGGATGACCCGCTTGTCCCACTTTATCCCCTGAGCCACAGCTGCCCTTGTGTTGACATGAACCAGACTGTTCACTGCAGGAAACTCAGTGCAGGGTTGGTTGTCAGCAGCTTGAAGCTGCTTTTACTTCATTTGATTCTATTACATGGTTGACTGCTTAGACTGACTCAGGATTAGTTGGGCGAGTGTGTAGGTGGTTCGATATTGTGGCTCCACTTTTAGCTTCATGTATGTGCAGTGGGAGGAAGTGGATACATGTTGTCCTTCTTTATATATAGTCAGTGTTCAGTAGTGCAGAGGATCATGCATTTTAGTTATAGAACACAAGCGCAAGTATCAATGGCGTCCAGTTGTTTTAAAGCAGAAGGAACATGTGAATGAAGGATATCTCAAGCAAAGACATGATGGTCGACTGTACAAATAATTCACTGTCCTCAACAGACACACAAATGCTTTATTGTGATATAACATCACAAAGTGTGTTTGAGAAATTCCCTGACATTCTTAAGACTGGACAATTTCACCGTCAGTGCTATTTACACCAAAAGGAGCAGGCATAAGTATGTTTTAAAAAGGCATGTCAATCCTCTAAAAGGGTGTTTGACTCATGTCCCATTGCCAGAGGGGGAGTGTGTCTTTCTGTTTTGCTGATCAGTGCTGGAGCTGATATAAAAACCTGTGACCACTGCTGAGTCATTTGACCCGAGAGTGACTGCTGATTGAATGCAAATGCCATTGCAGCACAGGTCACATTTCCTTGTTACGTCTAATGTGTCTTAGTCTCCCTCTGGTCATCTCTGTGGAAACTGGAGCAGGAATTCACTCCAGAAAGTTGATCGGGTTCCCTCCCACGTCTTATATAAGATGTTAATACATGTGTGGACATATGACACAAATACAGTATTCAGATGACCCACATGTTACTGAAGGTGTCAAGTGATCAGTCATCAACACCTGCAGTAAGATTTACATGTTTCATGTCAATGTGGCCTGAGGATTCACAGCTTATGTTTGAGTTGATTGATTGTGAGGAGAGCAATAGAGCTTCATTTGAAATACAGCAAGGTATTTACATTTGTATTGTAATCACTATAATTATCATCCCTTTAAGGAATCTGTAGTTGGCTTCACAAATCTCCCTACTAATGTAAGAAGTGATACCATTAAGTTATTAACTGGAGAAGCTGTGGTTTGATCTTCTGATTTCTCTGTAGCTGTCGTCTTCAAAACAATCACTCAGTCCACTTCTTATTTGGTTACTGATCAATAACTTACTACTGGTTTCACTTCGACTACTTGTCTTTCATGGCTTTTATTTTGGTCTTAATGACTTCAAACCCAAAGTTACCTGCTGTCTGATGTTTTCATTCGCCGCCAAGAGTCTTTGAAATCTGATGTACAAGATGTGGCTGTAGGATTATAATGTTACCAAAGTGTGTGTGTGTGTGTGTGTTGTTCAGGTGTACATCACAGTGTGTCAGTGTCAGAGATCATCTCTGTCAGAGAGGAAGAGGAGGAGAACAGCAGCAGACAAAGAGACGATGGCAGCTGGAGGAAGATCAAAGAGAGAGATGGAAAGGACTGCAGGCAGACCTTCACAGGTAAACACATCTGGAAACTCATTAAACACAGCTGGAAATTCATTAAACACATTTAGAGACATATTAAACACACATTAAAACACATAAAACACATCTGGAAACACATTAAACACATCTGGAAACACATTAAACACATCTGGAATTACAGTAAACACATCTGGAACCCATTAAACACATGTAGAAACATTAAACATCTGGAATCACACTTGGTAACACACCTGAATAATTAAACATGGTGAGACATTAAGCACATCATGAAACACACTTGTGGAAGCATAGTATCACAACCTTTACCACTGAGGAAATGTGTGGAATCTAAATACATCATGTTAAACATATCGTGTTCACAACACAAAGACCATGAGGACCCATCAGGAAGCTCAATAGACAGACCTGGAAACATGTTGAACACACCTGAAAAGCTTCTTGAAACAAACCTAGACACTCTGGAAAAACATCTCTAAATAGACTAAACAAAGCTGCTGTTTGTTCACTCTGTGGCTCTTAGTACTTTCTGAGTACGGACTAGGCAGCATCAATTACCCAAAATATCTATATTATTGTAACATTGTGATGATTGGTTTTGACTTGTGTGTTTGTGTGTGTGTGTGTGTGTGTGTGTGTGTGTGTTTTTTGGGTTCCAGTGTTGTACGTGGAGAGGTGTCAGCAGCACCGCTGGCGGTGTGCTGAGGTCAGCTTCACGTGTTCAGATGAGGCACTGTGCCAACGCTGGGTCAGCAGCATCAGAGAGCAGCTCGTCGCTATCAGTACGACACTTCATCAACAGTAACACACACTGACTAACACATGCTAACTAAAAAGTGCGCTCACACATACAGATTCAAAACCTGTGAAAAAAAAAGTTAATTGAGGTTTTGCAAAAGAGATCAGATCCGGACAACCTCTTTGTATCCGTATGTGTGACTGTGCAGTAAAACACACATGAGTGTTCCTAGAAACTGTCAGTAACGTAGTTGTTGTTTACAGCCACCAGACCAAAACACCTGCTGGTCTACATCAACCCTTATGGGGGGAAGCGACAGGGCAAACGCATCTTTGAGCAGAAGGTCGTCCCGCTGTTTGCTGAGGCCGGCATCTCCACGGATGTCATCGGTACGTCCTGCATTACCTCTATGAATTCCTGGGTCAGCGATTCTGCATATTAACGTGTTCTATCTGTGTGATGGTTGCCATAGTGACAGAGTACGCCAATCATGCGAGGGATCTCCTGAAGACAGAGGCAGAGCTGAAGAAGTATGATGGGTGAGTGTCCTGCAGCTTAATTCCCACACAAAACACAGTTCAAAATAAAAATTTGGATTTCCATTTATCCTGGAAAACCCTAAACCTGGAAAGTAATTTTTCTTCTACCTTGGAAGATTCAAATGTTATGGCTGATAATCAAAATCTCTATTTAGAAAAAGAAGATTTTGACCAGGCTTTTGAGCTCCACAGAGAACACATCCCTCTGGCTGCTGTTTTACTGCCGATTTTAAACAATTTCTAGTTACTTTTTACCCATTAATGAAATTGCATTTTATACGGATAATTAATGTAGTTTCACTTTTGTAATCTCCTCACATTTTACTGTGATCCTGGCTCAGTGTGGTGTGCGTTGGAGGGGACGGCATGTTCAGCGAGATCATCCATGGGCTGATCTGGAGAACACAGATCGACGGTGGCGTAGATCCAAACTGTGCGGATGAGGCGTTGCTTCCCTGCTCACTTCGCATCGGAATCATTCCTGCAGGTCAGAAACAAATAATATGTTTGATTGTAATAAAATACAGTGCTCATCCTTCTGTTTAGATGCCACCTTTAGTCGTAGTATTAGAGCAATAAGAGGATGAAAAGTACGTCCTCGATGGAGTTGTAGAGGTGTTTGAAGAATTTGCTCAGGACGCTCCTGTGGTCCCTGAGTGAAATGGCTTAACCTGTAGCATCATTTGTGTTGCGATGGTCAACTGCAGTTTAACCCAAGACATTCTCTGCTGTGTATAAAATTATTAATTACAAACTATGCTTTGCTGAGTCTGGCCCTGGTCAGACTGGGTCTTAACATCCGTCCTGAGAGATCTGATCATGAGTGGACAGCCTTAACAACATGTGTTCACACCTAGTTAAAGGTTGACTTACGTACACTGCTGTCAATGAATGGAAAAATAAATAATTAACAGTTTCAAAAAATCTCTGTGTTTAAGAGACATAAATGTGTCCCAGCCCCACATCACAGTACTCAGTCTGTCTCCACATCAAATATAAATAAAGATGTTGCCATTAAAAATACATGCTCTGTGTCCTTACAGATGAATAGACAGTCTCCAGTGGGCCTTAACTATGTATGAACACTGATTTGACTTAAATAGCCAATCAGAGTTTGTGCGTGCGTGCGTGCGTGCGTGCGTGCGTGTGTGTGTGTGTGTGTAAATTCCAAAATGAGGAGAGTTTTAGTGCTGATCAAAGTTCATATGAGGTATCCATCGGATCAATAGGTTAATGCGTACAAGTCTCTCTGTATAGATGTGCAAGAGACTTCAGAGATCATCATGAGACATGTTCTAAGAACTCTTAAAAAGCATAAACATAAACATTCAGCTTCATTATTTAACAATTTCAGTAAAATGACAAAGTCAGCTCTATGTATTAAAAGTACATGTTTCTCAACAGGCAGACAAAAGCATCTGACTTTTTGCTCACAGTATCTCAAAATTTGAATCCGTTCATTTTTATTCTACCCAGTTTTTTTTAATCGTGTGATTAGATTGTTAGGAATTGAGGCCACATGCAGAAAATAAAATTCTGAGTATTGTCTTAAAATACAGAGAAGAAAGTTGTAGTTAAATGAGAATGATGAAATTTTAGGAAAAGAGTCCTTCTGGATCCAAACTCTTGATGACCAATCTCATCCTGTACACAATAGGCAATTTCCTCCAAGTCTTTGTGGTTCTTTCTTTAGAATAGACAGTTTCTAGCTTTATCTTTAAGTCCTGATACTTGTGATTATTTGGTGCTAATATGACAAAAGTATTATGTTGCTCCACATTCCTCATTCTAACACAGGCATTAGACTGATCTTCTGATGTTCTTTTTTCTAGTTAATGTACAACTTTATTCTTGTAGATATACGACTCAGAGTTACATCAACAGATCATAATGTTTTTCCATAATTATATACATAATTATAATTAGTATTCACATATTCTCTTACTATAACTATTAGAAAGCAAGTGTTTGGTTGGTAAAACTCCTGTTTCGGATCAATCTAATCTGTTGAACTCAGTTATCCATGTATGAAGAAGAGTTGATCATTGTCCAGGTCTCCATCACAGTGCAGTGGTGTTTGCTCTGTATTCTGTTATCATCATCTCTCATTGTTTCCTCTATGTTTGATCCAGGTTCAACAGACTGTATCTGCTTCGCCACTGTCGGCACCAACGACCCTGTGACCTCTGCTCTGCACATCATAGTGGGTCAGTGACATCATCAACTCTAGCATGAATTAATTCTGCACCACACAGGTTATGTAACATTGTGCACACAACATTTTTTGTTGTTGTATATATATATCTGCTAATTACCCCTGAAATTAACACACAAATAAACACTAAATTAATGCTTTTCATCAATATGTTGCTACCACTGTAAAGACCTGTTCCTCACAAACAGCTTTTCCTAATATGCAGAACTTGTATTTAAAGTGGAACAAATAGTCACAGAGTCAATGATGCTTCTGGTTCTCCGGTGTGAGAATTGACGCTGCTTTGGTTGTTCGCCCATAACAGCAAACTGAATATCTGTTGGGTTTGCGGTTGTTGGTTGGACACAATGATTCACTGAAGATGTCACCTTGGACACTGAGGGAAATCTTTCACTAGAACAAATGATGAATTAAAATTAAAAAAGAGTAATTAATAGTAATAAATACTAATTGATTATGAAAATAAAAAGCTCAATATTGATTTAATATCATATTTATGTATGATATAATATAGATACCAAATATAGATTGTATAAACATAATTTTATTGTTGTTCTTGTGTGTTAACTACCCGAGTTTAACTCACCTTATTATCTCACCCACAGATTATCCAAATTGCACCAAATTTGTTCAACCAGTCCTGGATGTGATTATCATGTGTGGTTTTTATATTGGTCAAATGACAGTTTTTGCTGCTATATGGTCCATTTATAAAATGTTTGAAATGATGAAAATAGTCCCACGCTGACATCTAGTGTTATGTCAGAGAACATGCTCTGAACATTACACGTGCGGGACTTCCTGAAGGCCTTAGAGCCCAAATTGTTCTGGGTCAGTGCCAGTGTGGTTCAGAAGTAGACTCTGGTTAAGCTGCTTGCAGGACTAGTTTTAAAAAATATATATTTGTAAAATAATTCCGGGTTGGTTTGTTGATGGTGTGTTTGCTTATGTGTTTTGTGCACAGGAGACTCTCAGCCCATGGACGTATGCTCAGTTCACCACAACAACACATTTCTGCGATACTCAGTCTCCCTGCTGGGATACGGTTTCTATGGCGACGTGCTTACTGACAGTGAGAGGAAGAGATGGATGGGACCGGCCAGATACGACTTATCAGGTAGAGTGTTACATGTTGAGCATGTTAAAGGTTTGAGGGGAAATGTATGGTACAGTTACAGTCCCAACTGCACACACCCACCCACCCATCTATACATGAATGAATAGATGAGAATATCACTGTTCCAGGAATATAATGTAGCAATATATATGAGCCTCAACAAATATCAAACAAATACTGACATTAAAATAAATGCTAATTTGTTGGAAGTCATTACACTCAATAATGATAATAATATTAATTGTTTAAAGAATCCACGGCTCCGGCCCATTGAACATACACAAATACAATATTACAATTAAGTCGTGTTCAGACATGATCTCCGAAGCATATCCGCACAATTGCGGCTTTCTTTTAAGTTTGCTTTCCTCACATGACCAACACAGCAGGAGGTTCTCTGCTCTGACGCCTTCACAACATTATAATTTCTGGAGCGTTCAGGTGAGAGGCAGACAGAGGCGGGACGTAACATATAGATTCCACTGTTCTCACATGTGCACCTGATTTCATCCAGAACCTCAAATACAAATAACAGAATTGCTACTAGACAGGACAGATGCAGCCAAAAGTTATTATGTCTGTGTGTAAGAGAGAGAGTGAGACTGTTTCTTTGTAGACAGTGTAGTAATAAAGAATAATAGTGATACTGAATAATCCTCAATCCCATTTTTTTGTAATGGACTGGTTTGATGTTGACGCCTGCAGGTCTGAAAATGTTCCTGACACATCATTATTACGAAGGAACAGTGTCCTACCTGCCGGCCAGAGGCATCATGGGAACTCCACGAGACGCTGCCAGGTGTCGATCAGGGTAAGGGTTAGAGAGACATGCTATACAGGTGTGACACTGTGTTTAAAATGAAAATAATCTAGATTCTCTGATGTTTAATTGGAACTCAGGCCTGAGTTTTTTTAAGACTGTTCAAGTTAACTAACAGAGGTAAACAGTTTGGTTCAATTGTTTAGTTTATGTTAAGAAAATCACTGAGTTTAGTGACCAAGGTTTGGTCAATTTACATAACCATTTAGTTTACAAGCAAAGTCAGTTTGGTCCTAGTTTGTTTAAGTGTCAGTTTAGCTGCTAAAATATATAGCTTCAGGTCGGCTGAAGCTTCAGGTCAGTTAAGCAGCTCAAATATTTTGGTTTCGATAAGCTGACGGTTAAGTTTAGCAGTTAACATTATGTAGAGAAAGTTATCTAATGTTTCAGTTTAGTCTGGTTTGATTAAGACGCCAATCCTTTCTGGTTAACTTTAGTCAAGCTGGGTTCACGCACAGCTAACTGCTCTGTATAGGGATGGATCAGAAGCAGAAGGTTTGGGTCAGGTGTATGACACTTTCATTAAACCATGTCATTTTGGTTCTGGTTACCTTACCTTAATAACGTCTGTGTGTCTGTGAATCTCCAGCTGTGTGGTTTGTCAGCACAATGGGCAGCTACTTTCAGAGACATCTGAGAGGAGCCAGATTGATGAAACATCAGCTAGTGGTGAGTCAAACAGCTAAATATATGTTTGTAAGACAATATCCTTACAGATACATTCTGCAAGCAGGGGCTACTAGGAGGGCTTCATTAAAAAAAAAATACAGCCATCACTAACTCACCCAATGTTTGCATATGAGTTTGCATTTCAGAATAGATTTATATTGAATTTGGAAAATGAAAGTGGTCTGGGACTAGAGCCCAGGGGTACACCACAGCATGGTCTTTTGCACAAGAACCAACTATGGGTTCTGGCACTTTACACGATGATGAATGCTCATGATATGGTCATTGTATTTTACAACTGCATTGTGAATATCAATATTATGACAACTACAACATTGAGAAAGGTCAAAGATTTTTTTGTGGGGGGGTTGTTCTTCCAGAGAGTGACGGTGAGTGGAGGACGATCCGAGGGAAGTTCTTGGCTATAAATGCTGCCAGTATGAGCTGTGCTTGTCCTCGCAGCCCCAAGGGCCTCTCACCTGCCGCTCACCTGGCTGACGGCACCACAGACCTCATTCTGGTCCGAAAATGTTCCCGCTTTGATTTCCTCAGACACCTTCTGCGACACACCAGCAAAGATGACCAGGTACAGCGGAGGGCAAGATAATAAATCAGTTTGGGCTGCTGCAAGTGATTATGTATATCATTGAGGAATCTGTGAATTACTTCCTCAACTAACCGATGGTTCGTCCTCACATTGTCAAAATGAATTTGGTCTTTTCATTTACCAGCCATCCAAGGTGTTGAATTTTGATTTCTTGTTTTATCAGACCAAAATCTAGATGGTTTATCTTTTATCTCTGACATAGAAAAGCAGAATATTAACAAGAGGGAACGATTTTTTTTTTTGCTTAAGCAATAACCAAGTTAAATCAACTAAACACTACAGTAAGATATCACAGTCCACGGAAGACTGACTCCTAGTTTTCTCACTAACACAATCTGAGTCTTGAGTCAGATCACAACACTTGGCATAGTTCCGCCTGTTTCCTCCAGATCTCCCTCATGGTCTCCTCCTTCCCTCGTTTCACACAGTTTGACATGACGTTTGTCGAGGTCCACCGAGTGCGGCGATTCCGCTTCACGCCTCGACACTGCCAGAGCGACTCTGACCTGGAGCTGGACCTGCGAGAGCATGGCAAACGACAGATCTTCAGCCAGATCTGCAGAGACCACCCGGCTTGCAGCTGTGCCCCCGCCTACAGCAGCTGGAACTGCGATGGCGAGATCCTGACCCACACGGCCATCGACGTTAGGTACCTCAATGCTGCGTGATTTTAGCAGTTTTCAAATATTGTAGCCCTGTTTGGATTTCTTTTTAAGGTGCGTTTCCCTTTCTTTTTTGCCCCCAGAGTGCACTGCCAGTTGATCAAGCTGTTTGCACGCGGAATCGAAGAACAGGCAGTGTTCGAGGATCTCACCAACCCCTGTGCAATATAGACCCGTAGCCCAATATTCCTCCGTCAGACACTGGAGTCTTCTCTCTGTTTCCAGTCGTCACCTACGTTACTGCTGCAGGCATCGTCATTCAACACTCACATTTCACCAGGAGACTCAACAGGATTTTGTATGACGTATGAAAATGTTACTCCCTGGGTTTAAAAGTTTCCTTAAATCGCCTTGAACTGCTTTATATGTATCCCCTTGGAAGTCACAGCTGCTTTTAGAAATCAATCACAAAGAGACCCTGCAGAGAGAAAAGGTTCACCCTGAGAGTTTGGATTTGTGGTGGGTGCCACTGTTGGTGTTTTGATGTGGACAGTTGACCATTGGTTGATCAGTCACCTGATTTATTTTTGATATTGAACTCCACTTCTGACAGTAGTTTTCTCCATAATCTTTAGATCATGACTGGATGACCTCTGTGACTTGAGGTCTCTGCTACAAATGAAAAAAAGGTCCAAGCAACATGGACTCATTGAGTGGCTGTGTTGGCCTGTGTCTCACTGCCTGTAGAACTGACTGGTTGTTATTTTAAGTCTGGCCTTTTTTTCCTTATAACACAGGCTTGTTTAGAGCCACGTCAGTGATTTGATTAAGAGTCGTCTTGTGGACAGTTTGATTCTTGTTTTCTTCAGTCTCGTGGCTGTTTGAACTCAGACTTGTCTCAGTGTTGTAGTTGTCTGGACTCAGACTTGTAGGAGTCCTGTGGATGTTTTCTCATGGACTTGCTTTAGATCTCAGTTATGTGGTTGTTTATAGCTGAATTTCTCTCAATCATGTGGCCGCTTTAACTCAGACTTGTCTTGATCTTGTCATTTTTTGTATTAGGGCATGTATTGAGTTTTGTGGACTCTGACTTTTCATGGTGTCACTGGTGTTTTGACTCTAATTGTCTCCATCTGACCAGTTTCAGTCTTCTGTGTTGAGGATGATGTCTGATAGATGTAGGGGGTCTTGACTCTGACTTAAACTTGTTTGGACGTAGCTTTGACTTGTCCAGGACAAATTCTCTGCATTGTTGTCGAACATCTCTATCTAAAAAGTTTTTCTCTCCGAACTCAAATTCACCTTGTACCTGTGATTGTTTTGTCTTTGACATGTCTTAATCTTGGCTATCAGTTACTCTCAATTGTAGCTGTAGACTTGACTCTCTGAAACTCGTTTGACTTGGACTTGTCTTGAGCTTGACTTGAATTGCCTGTTCATTCATTTCTAGATTAGTCTTTTTTAGTGCTGTAGTCTAGTCTTGATTGTGATCTTTTTTTTTTTTTTATCATCTTAGATGTGTCTCTGCCTTGTGTGTTTAGACTTGTACTCAACTCTGACTTGTCTCTGACTCACCCTGTGAGTCAGTGGTCTTGACTGCAGCTCTTCTGCCGTACAAATGGGTTAGACGGCATCTTATTTGAATTTTTAAATAGTTTCAACCAAAACCAATTTACATGAAAAGTAGAAAGTCGAACTCTGACTTGCGATATTATTTCCACAGTCACCGTCTGTTTTTCAGCTGTGTGAAGGTTTCTGTTACATCTTATTTCAAAAACACATCCATTAGTGTTGTGTTCATGTTTCCATCATTTCTCAGGAAACAGTCTGAGCCTAGTTGTAGCTATCAAATTGTATTTTTTACATATATGAATTCCAAACAATATAGAAAAAGAAAAGTCTGAAAATTTTAACTCTCATCAAAAACATGTAGTCAGTCAAAGGTCGTGGCTGAGGATGCTGTACAGCACACATGGATGTTTTCAATCATTTCACTCGATATGCAAATCACTTGTCAGTTGGTGCAAACACAACCTCATGAAAATTTCCAGCTTTAAAAATAAAACAAACAGATAATCATCATAGTCTTTGAAATGAGCTGGAATTGTAGCTGTAGCTTAAAATCTGAACTGGTCAGTTCATAAAACCTCAAGATAATCACATGGACCTTCCAAGAGTCAGAAATAAAGATTCAACAGACAATATGTTTTTGCAAACAGATTGCTTCAGAGCAATTTTACCTCCTTTTTTAAAAACAATGTAGTTGCTTTGTGTGATGTTCCTACACTACATGGCCAAACGTAACAGTCCATAGCTGCATCCCAAATGTGTTGCATGTGTTCAGGTCTTATAGACCAGTCAAGTTCTTCGACAAACTGGGACGATTATTTTCTTATAAATGTTGTCATGAATACGTTTTCTATTGTGAATGCCAATCTTTTGATCCAGTCCAGTTGGTGGCAGTAATGTGGCTGTAAGCTGGTCTGCCAACAGGCATTAAACCAAGAAACAGATGTATTCGGGCAAAACAGGGAAGTGGTTTACAAAAAGTTTGGAGAACACTTGTTTTGTCAAGAGTATAATACTTTGCTCTAGATTTGGGGGGGACAATAGTTGTTTTAGGACGTCACAAACAACTTAATTTGAGGATATGTACGCTCAATATACTTTTGGCCATGTGGTCCACACTCCAAAAAGGAAACTGCTTGTTTATAAATGAGTCAATCCAAATGAAGGTTACACATTTTACTGTATTAGGTTCACACTGATGAATCATTCAAAATATAATAGTTTTTTTGGAATTGTTTGACAGTTTCCATTTGATCACGCAGCATCTTTGTTTTGTAAAATAGTTTAAACTTTGAGGACAAATCAGACTGGAAGTTGAGTATCCGTACTGGACTTGCTGAGTAGAAGCTGTTTCTTTGTATTTCTGTTAGTCAGATTTGTTGAAAAGCCGTCCTGTTTCCTGCCTGCTGATGTTGAGCTGGACTCAAACTGATGGAGGAGAGGACCTGTAGCAGCTCACGGTGCTTTTCAAAACTCTGATCAATCACTTTTAAGCTTTCTCCTGATTTTAATCTGACCAAATAGCCTACCAGCTTGGGTTCTGAGATGTAGCTGTTTGTCTGTGACAGTTGTCTTCAGGTCTTCACAGGCTCAATATGTTGGAGCCAGTACAAAGCAGCCCCATAGAAAAACAATGTTGTTTTTGCTGGAGAACAGGCCTGATCCAAAAAGGTTCAGGACAGCCAAAACTGGTCTTAAATGGAGGCAAGGATGATTGCACCTTCACAAAAACAGAGTGAACACCAGCATTGGCAGCAGCATGATGCTCCACTACAACAATAAAACATTGTCTCAGTTAGAGCCTGGACCTGTGAAGACCTGTAGCTCAGCTCTTTCTCTTATGCTGATTCGTCTTTTAACTGTGTTCAATGAATCACTCTGGATGTTGGAACCCCTTGCTTACCACTCGTTCAGCTACCTGAAGGTGCACGACTGAGGTGGCATTTTGATCAGGAGAAGATTGAATATCTTCTTCATATTTAGCCTGCTGAAATTATTAATAAAACATGTTTGTGTCACAGTAGTATCGGATAATTAATGTCAGATTTAGCGTGAAAAGACGTACATTGATTTGCATGTTTTCATGAAAATGTTGGTGCTGGAAGCTCACAGTGCTACACTGGGCAGCTACAGTAGCTGGTGGCTACAGTACAGCTAACATGCTATTTAGCTGGGCACATGTCGGCCCATAGTGCTAGCCCTAGTGAGCCATAATATCCCACGTTATTAGCTCAGTAGACAGCAGTTAATGTATGTTACTATTCAGCCAGAATAGTTAGCTGGCTTGCTACTAGCTAATGTTGCATTTACTAATTGTACCTGTAGACCAAAAGACTCAGACACAACAGAAAATGGCTTAATGAAATTCCTTTTTGCGCCTCTAAGAAATATGCAGTGCTACGTGCTAGGTTACGTGGCGAGGTCCCGCAGGTGAACTGCTGTATCTTGCAAGCTAATGGCTACCTCCCTGCTAGCATTTTTATCTAGTAGTTATTAATTTCATTCAATAAAAAGTTGTCGAAAAAGGGGAGAAAGCGCTGTTAAGTTAGCAAACATTAGTCTGTCATTTACAGGAAAATAAATTCAAAGTCTTGTAACTGTTTGTAAGCCATGTTTGTGTTTCTTCTCCAGCTGAGGTGGTTAAATCAAACTGGACGGACGCTGAGTTGAAGCTAAAATAAAAAATCATGGAAATGATTGGGTATCGATGTTGGTGTTGGTGAGGGTACTCTAACTCCATGAGTTGGACATCTCAACTGGAAACTTGAGCATTTCAATTTCCCAGTTCCAACGGACTGCACCACACTGATAACTGAGACATGGGACAAAACACGTCCAATTCAATTCAATTCAATTCAATTTTATTTGTATAGCGCCAAATCATAATATACATTATCTCAAGGCACTTTACATAGAAGGTCAGACCGGGGACACGTGAGCACCATCAGGTATCAGATCTGACTAGTTAAAATGTAAAATGTAAACAATAACAGTGTAAAGACTATTAATTATTATTGATAACAGGCACAATTCATATCATAATTAATTACTGCAATATTGTAATTGGTAATAATGAAAGTTGTTGTCCTGAGGTTCCGGGGTCAGAGATATCTGAAATGAGAGAGAAAAAGAGAGAGAGGGACTATGGGAGTACAAAGTGAAATAGTCATTGACTTGTATTAAAACAAATAAATGAATGAGTGTGGGGGGGCAGAGAGACAGAGAGAAGTGGAGAGGTGCTCAGTGCATGATGGGAGTTCCCCCAGCAGTCTAGACCTATAGCAGCATAACTAAGGGATGCTTCAGGACTCACCTGATCCAGAACTAACTATAGGCTTTATCAAAAAGGAACGTTTGAAGTTTAACTTTAAATGCTGAGATGGTGTCTGTCTCCAGAACCAGCCAGCAGTTGAAATTGCTGTTGGGATTAATAATGGAATGTATTGAACACAATTCAATTTAATTTAATAGTTATTCATTGAAATCTATGACTGTCTAAAACAGCATGTCCACCAAGAAGGGTTCAATCATTCCTGTGAAATAACATAGATAACAATATTCTTTAATGATTAAAAGGAGCTTGTTCATCAAAAGAAAACATGTCTTAACGATAATATTTCCTGTGTCACAACCATGATGTGTCAACGCCATCTTCCACTTTCTGAGGAAATTGTTTAGAATGTTTAGATCATTTTATTTTCCTGAAGAAGGTTCTGTTAGCATCTAGCATCAAGCTGAAAAGAAAAGGGCTGCTACATGAACTGCATTTGTTTTGTGAAGAAAATGCCAATTATGTAAACACCATCAGATTTTCTGTCTGACGCCGGTGACAGGTGAATTACGGAGTTGACATTCGATGGGAAGGCATCATTTTTTGTGATCTTTTTTTTGAGACAGGAGAGACAGAGAAGGAGACAGAGTGTGGAGGAAAAATGTAAAAAATAAAGGATTTGACTGAAGGAGAACAGAGGAAAAGGAGATGGAATTGGAACCATAGCAAATACCGGCAGCTGAACAAAATCAGGCAATTTGAGTCCACCAGTAGCCCAGAATGGACAAACCAAACATTTGCTCTCAACATTTTGTGTGTTTATGTTACCAAGGGTTGGAGCAATAAGCTAACTCATCACTAGATAGATCCTGTTCACTGAGCCTTTAACGGTCACTCCATACAGAAGCTGTGGTCCAGAGATCCCCCTGACCTGTCAGGCCCCTGAGCCTGTACCTGGTTAGTAATGCATCAATAATCCATTCACCACAGAGATTTTTATTTTCAGACCTGGTGTTCACGTGAGAGAAATAATAAAATCTTTTGATTCCTCCCTCCCACACTAACACAACTCCCCCACCCACAGCAAGGTGTCAGGGAGGGGCTTCCTCATGCTTTCTGGCAGTCTTCGTCGAGCATGATGTCCCTTGAAAATCCTCAGTCTGCTTGTCACACCACACATATCTGGTACCCCCCCCCCCCCCCCCCCCCCCCCCCGGTGTTCACACACCATCAGTGAAGAATGATTCTAAGCAAAAGCTCGGAGGTCAATGATAGAGCAAACAAGAGCACAAAAGGACACGGTCATTAAACAATACAAATGTGAGGATCAATACTCTGCACCGGTGTGAGAATGATTTCATGTTCACAAACAGCAGGCCCCCCTCACAGGTGATTACGGCTCATTAAGGAAGTCAGATAACATCATTAAGATTTCAGGAAGTCAACAAACCGACGCAGCAGCTGAAAATCTGATGTCAGCAGACCTTTGACTTTTATTGACGAGCTGGTTGTTTTAAGACAGGATGGCAAAATTGGTAAACCACCCCTAACTGAAGACAATGATCAGCAAATTCAACTGGTGATGAGGGATCTGATTGTCTATCGAGGTTGAGACCCTACAATATTACAGAGAAACCAAACAGTTCCCACTGCTGGGGGGACATTGAGTTCTCCAACAGACACACAGAGATCCTGCGAAAAGCCAAACACAGCTCATCTGCTCCTTCCTGAGGAGGAAGGTGAGAGGTGAGCCTCCAGATGTCTCACTCTCATCATTTCACTTTGACTCACTCATCTCTCAAAATGGACATTTTCACACTGTCAAGCGGCCGTTAAACCACGGAGGAGAAGTTTTTAAAGATGTTGTGTTTATGATTTCAAGTGTTGCTGTGCATGCACAGCTACTAAAAACAAGCAAGGGACCTGCAGCTGTTTCCCATGGCTGTAAAAATCCAGAAAACTCCCCAGCTTCATATTTTTCTTGAAAAAACACTGGTGTTTAAGATATTATTTTAGTCAGCGTTAATGTGAAAGGACAGTGCATCAAAAGAGACCGTTTTTCATAATAAAGAAGCTAATGTCATAAAATAATGTAACTGTAATTCCATTATAGCAGTAATATAGTCCTTACAATATATTAATTTATTTATATATATAATTGCAGGAAATAGCATTTGTTTCTTGCTTGTTCAAACAGTACCTGTGTCCATCTGTCTATAACAACTGGCCGATCGAGCTATAGACAACACACAGAGGAGCCAGAGAGAGAGAGAATAAATGTGGTGTGAGAAAAACAGATCATGTTAATAAAGGAATTTTTATGACATACTTGGGGTGTGTAGTGTGTTTGATGTGAAGTGAATATCAACAATCTAATTTGTTACACTAAAGGAAAATGTACTTACATGATGGGCTTCAGCACATTAATACACTATATTTATAAAACTTTTTCATCACTTTTGTCCCCTGGTTTTTCAGTAATGTCGCCCCTTTATAAAATGTTTTAACATTCCTCTATAGCCTGCTCATGACCCCACTTTTACACCCACACATCACTGACTCACCCTCACATGTAACACCAACAAGGCACTTGGTGAGGAGATCCTCATTTAGATTTACCCTCTTTACTGCAGACAGCAAACTTTGCACAATGCCAGCAGCTGTTAAACTGTGTAATCCAAGTCTACAAGAAGATTGTCTCCATTACTTATATTAAATATAGCTGAAATCTCAAATTCAGTCAAAGAAGCCTCCTCGTTAGACCAGTAGCCTCATCTAACATAAACACTGCTTCATTATCATTTATTTCAGAAGAGATGTGCTGCTGAAAATATTATAATGCAGAATGTCGAAACCATTTACCTGCTGACAAAATAATAACTTTACTTGTAAAGCACTTATCCAAACAAGGTTAGTGCTTCGCAATTCTTCTATTTTAAGCGCCAAATCATAACATAATAAGATCAAGACCTTAAAATGTATAGAGAAGGCTAACAGTTCCCACCATGAGCAGCAATTTGGCGAAGAGAAAAAAACTTTAAAATAAATAATCAAATTTAATTAGAAACGCATATCAAATTTCAGACGCAGCTCACTGGTGAGTTGTGTTATTTTTAGAACAGGCCTGCGGGCGAATCATGTGGTCCTTGGGGGCGACCTGGTGCCTGCGGGCACCGTGTTGGTGACCCCTGCTCTAGCAGAACCAGACTCAGTGTGGGCAGCCATCTACCTTGATCAGATGCAGTGAGCAGAGGAAAATGGGGGAGAGAAAAGAGGTTGGTGGAAAAGAGGGGAGACGAGAGAGAGAGAGAGGAGAGAGAGTACAGGAACAATTGTGTTACCATCACATTTGAGCTCTGTCAGACTGGTTAAAATTGGCACCCCAGGATCTGCAGTTTCAAAGTCCTTCTCTGGACACCAATCAATTACACAAGTTCTTACTGATAAGAGGCAGTAGATTTAGTTTGCATGCCACAGATAAGGAGCCTGGCAGGGGAGAGAGTCACTTCAGCCACAAACCTGTATAACCAGCAGCAGGGTGAGTCTAAAGGTGAATCTGACTGGCTACTGGATTGTATGGCAGTGCTATGAAAGCCATGTGCTCAGTAGATCAGACGTCATTACCTCTGTGCCTTTTCTTAAATTAAACACCTGCTCTCGTAGGCAGCAGAGTCAGAAGCTGCCATATTTAAGAAACTATATAAAATGAGCCTCGGGGGCGTGATGGAGAAAGCCTGGTCACCCTGAGTAACCAGCCTTGACCTAGGGACAGCCAAAAAGGACAGGCTGGCTGATCTCAGAGTCAAGAGCTGTGGGGTCCAGCTCATGTTGAGCTTTGAAAGTTATTTAAATAATCTTAAAATCAAACCTGAATTGAATTTTTTGAAAAGTTTGGAATCGAATGTGCCAGCTAGATTTTCAGCTGTTGCCTGCTAGTTAAACAGGAACCTGTCTGCTGGCCTGTGCCTCTTAGTTTCCTTGCGTTCCCCTTAGCTATAAAAAAATCTCTATTTTTGTGACCTTTGTATGTTGAGTCTTAAACTTGTTCTGCCTACTTGATGAACAAGTCCCTCTCTCTGTGCATAACAATTCTATTATCACCAGTAGAGGTGAAGTGGAATTTTCATGGGCATGCATGAAGTGTGTGTATGTATATATATATATATATATATATGTGTGTTAATAGTAACTTTTATGTAAACATTTATGATATTTTGGATATTTATATTGGGGACTATGTGTGGGATTTTTTTTTAAATTGGTATGTGCCAGCCTAGTCAATTGACAGCCATCTCTATACAAGGCAGCGAGTCTGAGAGTGTGTGTTGGTGCTGTAACACTGTTGTTAATAAAATTGCTTCAGCTCTCATCTGGATTTGAACATTGTGTTTTTCCTCAAAGGACGCCTCGGCCACTCTGGCCAGTTTACAGGTGCAGCAAGTGTCCGAGCAACAGCCAAAAGCTGCAGCAGTTGCCAGGTCCCAGCTCTCGGGACCTTAAAGCAACCTTCAAGCAACAGCTTGTAGAGTTGGTAGAGAAGAAGAAGACAGAAGGGACAGATTTGAATCTAGACTACTTTGCTGTTTTAAGAACTGAAACTGATATTTACTGTTAAACTATTTTAGATAGGTTAGGTTTTATTAATTATGTAAATTAGTTAAGAGTTTTGCACTCACTTACATTTGTTGGATACTTCAAACTGCTTATATGTTAAATTTCAACTTCCAATTTGCAATAAAAAAAATAATCTCTGTATCAGCTCTGGCACTGTACTGTTTTAAAAATGGTCATTTAGAAGCAATATCAAAAAAATGCCAAGTGATACTCAACCCTACTCTCTGATGCATTTCATTCATTCTGACATGCTTTCTTGTTCTCCACAGTTACGAGGAGTGGTTATCTGAGTAACTGAGTTCCTCTCTGTATTTATGTGTTATGTTTCATGCCAGACATAAATATGAATCAGGAAGATGAGTTGGTTAGATGATATTATATCTCTTCTATATAAGTCTAAAACATGATATGTAAAACTAATCAAATGAAAGTTAAAACTATTGGTTTCAAAAAACAATCCCATACGACTTCCCAGCAAATTGTTTGTTGGGGATTTACGACGGGGAAAAGTCCACAGCAGTCATAAATCCAAGCAGATAAGCAGGAGACAGAGACGGCGGAGGATTAGTTGAGACAGGACGGACAGAGACATGGACGGTGTTCAGCCACATTTAACTGTGAGGACGTCCTTCATCTTGTTACTTCTGAGCCTGCTCCAAATGTCCAGTGGGAACAGTGAGTACTGAACTCAGCTGCTTGAGTTTGTTTTATCCGACTGATGGTGTCACCTGACAGAATATATTGGGCTCAATAACCTTCTGCTGTCGAGCACTTGTGGTGCAGCTCTACTCACACTGTGTAAATATAGATGTAAAAAAACACAGTAGGAAATATGTCAATGGAGAACGATGTCCATATTGAACATCAACATTGATGTCCAATATGGACAGTGTGCAAATTCTGATTATTTATCTAATCTATGGATTTATTTAGTCTCTTTCATTTCTTAAACACAGAGAGAGGCTTGTTAACCTCACAGGTAACACCTTGCTTTAAGTCTCCCTACACAAGTAGTATATGTAGATTTAATAAAGAAATACCTAATAATGCAGCGTTAAGCAGATAAAAATGGGGCTTCGCGTCAAGTGCTGTGACGTCATCTGTAGTGCGAACCAGCAGCTTGTTGCCACAGGTGATGGGAGTTTTATGATGTCTCCCAGTCAGCACTAACTGCTATGTCGTAAGTTTCATATTAACTTCAATATTGTGTGGAGTTGCATTTGTACTGACACCAGTGCTGAACACGGGCCTGTTATTTACAGTGTTATTATGTCATATAAATCCACTGATAAAGTAAACCCTGGTTCTTCCTGTTTTCCATAATGAAAGAGCTGTGAAACCAAACAAGACAATGGTGTTACTATCCAGCATTTTATTGGAAAAGAGATTAAGGATTAGAGATTAATTTAATTAGAGATTAATTTCAAATGTTTGTATTTTGTAAATACTCAACACGAGGGGCCCTGTCACACAAAATTAAAGTTGGGGGGAAATGGTACAACATTGTTATTCTGTACAAGTAAAAAGTTACTAGTTAAATTTGCCTGAGTAGGCAAAAGCTGTTGGGGCAGACAACGGTTTAAAAATTCAACATATCATAGAAATAAATCTTCCTTCATATTGCTTTGTCATAAACACCCTCCATGTTTTATTGGATTGTCTAACTTGTGTTTCCTCCCACCATGTTAATCTTCACACCTCTTAACAATTGTTCTTATTTTAGCTCCACTTGCACAACTTGGATGTTCTCTCCTCTAGAAAAGAATATCCAATTTCTCAGAAGATGGCACTGATGTGTACTTGGACTTGGAAGCCAAATAATGTTTCTTACCATGCAGAGAGAAACAGAGCAGAACAGAGGTTTAATTAATTATTGTGCAAATATTGACAGTTTGGTTTGCAGGAGTAAAGCTGGCGTCAATTTTGCATTTCCCTCTCAGATCATGTTTTCCTTCCCTTCATACAGTTGCCCTCTGTGGTTTGATTTATTATAGTTATGGTATATGGCATATGGTGAGGGTCAGTTAAGGTTGAGTACTTTTATCTTAATTATACTTTTACCATGTAAATATAAAGTATTCAATCATAAATGACCTTTTCTGGGGTAAAGAAAATTTGTATAATTTAAATAAAACGAACTATTGAAAACATCATGAGGATTATTCTACATTTAATTTCTGCCAATAGTTCCCTTTCACCTAAATCTTACACACTGGACCTTTAAGTGAACACAGCATAAAATCACACCTATTGCAACTCTGCATGTTACTTAAATGGTGCACTCAATTTTTCATTTAGAACAAGGGATGCTGGGATGTGTAATGTTGCTTCAGTACATGTAGGTCTGGTCCAAGTGTTTCATGCTGTGGGGTTTTGGGTTATTATTCAGATCCATGCACTGGATAAGCATCCATTTTCTAATCTGCTTTTGGAGAAGAAAGAAACTTTTCTGGGCTTTACTCAATGTTATGACAGCTATGTTGTGCTTCTCTCTCGACAGTCTGTTCTGGCCCTCAATCTGTGCAGTTTAATGAAAACAACAAAGTGGATGATCTTGTGGCAAATATTACTGTGCAACAAGGAGTGACCCTGGAGTTCACACCTCCCCCTAACAACGCATTCAAGCTCAGAGATAACCAGCTGTTAGCTGCAATAGTGTTTGACCATGAGGTACTGCAGATCATGACTAACAGTACCAACACGTTCCAAACCTATGACATCCTAAAACTTGTGATAGAAACTGACTCTTAAGCATGAATCTTGTTTTATTTGCAGAGTGAGAAAAGCCAAGTAGCCAGGATCACCTGCACTGAGACAGCTTCAGGCTTTACGGTAAAACTCCATATACACTTTGCATGTTAAAGCAACAATATGTACGTTTTAAGCAACAGCGCCCTCTGCAGCCACAGGTGGTGATTAATTCTGTTCTGGCTCCATGTCCGAGCAATTAAGAAAAAACGAAACCTATACGATGCTTATCAGTGACGACCCATGATCAAGTGATTTTTTTTATTCACTCAGGCCATCACTTGACAGGAACACAGCTGGAACAACTGGAATGGACATGTTTGTCTTTTAATACAGAAAAAAAAAACATGGCTATCATGAATAGATATTTCATGGCTACATGGCTGAAAGGCCACATGTTCCCCACCACTGTATACGTACTTGAAAAACTTGTACAGGTGCTTGAGGAGAATGCCCCGGGTGGTAGAGGAGAAGTCTGTAAACGTGCTTGGAGAGGAGGTTATTTTGAGTTCATGGCGGTTGCCCAGGTTGGCCTGTGGCTTGTGTAAGTTCAGGAGTAGGTTCTTCAGGGGGTTTTGTATGGGGGGTTTCTGCAGATTCTTGAGGAGAGTGTATAGGTTGTTTGAAGAACCTGTACAGGTCTATGATGGTGTGAGGGGACATGCTCTTTGTGCCTGTAATTATTATGCGGATTTTTGCAAGTTTAAGAGATTCTCAATGAGGTTTTATGGGTTTTGGTTTGTTCCAAAATGCTACACAGGTTAAACAGACATAAACTGTGAATGCCACAGTCTCAGGCTTTTCATGCAGTTTAAAATTAATGTCTCTTTTTTTTTATTCTTTACAGTTTAAAATCAGCATTGTGGTATTAGTGGATAATGTGAATGATAATGCTCCAGTCTTTGCTCAAAGCCTCTACGAAGTCAATGTCGATGAGGTAAGAGTCTGATAATTACTGTTTAAAATCTTAGATTTTGGGTTTACTTGTATTTTCTCTGTTGTTTGGTTAATTCAAGTTAAATTAAATCTACTTTTCTATCTTTATTTAAGAAAAGCAACATATAATTATTACTTTTTTGAACTTATTAACTAACATACTTAAACTTTTTAAAGAAGCAACCTATTTTTTGTTTGTTTCCATCCCAGATGTCTCCTGTAGGAACAACAGTTGGAAAGTATGCTGCCACAGACCCAGACAAACCCAACCAGCTCTTCTACTCTCTGACATCTGAATCTGTAAGATCTCACATTTTTCTCTCGTGAGATTTGTTTTTCGGACATGTTTAGCTTAGCTTAGCACAAAGACTAGAAGTAGGGGTAAGATGTTACTTCAAAAGGCATATCTGAACGTTTTTTTTTTTGTCCTTTGTGATTTCAGCAGAACAGCTTTAAACTGAAGTCATCCACCGACCCAGACCTCATCATCAGTTCACCTCTCGACTACGATAGGGTCAAAAATTTTAAAATGGTGTTGTACGCTCAGGTGAGTCTTGTTCAATGCTGGTTCTGAACACTGATTTCTTTTTTCCATCTAAATGAAATAAAATCTTGCTCTCAGTGTTATTCTCAGGCTCATCGAAATCAGTAAAGACCTCAAATGAATATGGGGCATCAGTAGGTGGCAGGGTTTGAGCCCAAGCTCTTTCTATCCACACACGAAGTGGACTTTGACAAGGATGCCAAAACCTCCTGAATTGCTGCAGCGTTGTAGCTCGCAAATTCAAAATTACACTGCATATAAATGGGAATAATAGAGCATGAAGGCATTATGTTTACGGTTTGTCCATCCGTCCATCCGTCTGTCCCATTTTCATGTATGGGATCTCAAGAGTGCCTTGAGGGAATTTCTTCAAATGTGGTACAAATATTCACTTGAACTAAATAATGAATTGACGATTAGATTTTGATGGTCAAAGGTAAAAAGTCAAGGTCACGGTGACCTCACAAAGCACATTTTTTGCATTTTGAAGGTGAGATCTCTGGAACGTTATCAAGGAATCCTTTCAAATTTGGTACAAACATTCACTTTGACTCAAAAATGAAACAATTAAATTTTAGTGGTCGAGGGTCAAAAGGGCAGGGTCACATGACCTTGCATTGTTTTGAACACAATATGTTATGATGCTCAAAGGGAATTTCATTGCATGTGGCATAAACATTCTCTAAGACTCAAGGATGACCTGAATAGAATTTGTAAGGTCAAAGGTCAAGTTTACTGTGACCTTATGTCCCTGTGAATGTGAAATATTAGGACTGTACGTAGGGAATTTCATTACATCTGCTACAATTTAGTTGGACTCACTGATTAACAGATTAGATCTCTGTGGTCAAAGGTCAACATCTGAGTGACCTCAAAAAGCATGTTTTTGGCCTCTTGAATGTGATATCTCAAGACTGTTTGAGGGAATTTCTTCAACTTTTGATCAGTTGTAACTTGGACTCAAAGCTAAAGTGATTACATTTCAGTGGTTAAAGGTCACAGTGACCTCATATGATTCTAG